TAATCAAATAACCATGTACAGAACAGCCCATTTTCTGATCTCCAAGATCAGCAGAAGCTTGTAAGAGACCAAGCATCACAACCCCATCTCTACCAAACCCTTCCCTTTGCATTCCTCTGTAGAACTCAACAGCCTTCAGCGACTTACCAGCTTGTGCAAACCCTGTCACCATTGTTGTCCAACAAACAAGATCCTTTCTTGTCATCTTTCGGAACAGAGCTTCAGCTTCCTCAGTCTTCCCACACTTCATGAACAGATTCAACACAGATGAACAAACAAAGACATCATTTTAATACCCACATTCCATAGCTTTACACCACACTGCCTCCCCTTTCCCCAAAGTCATAGCATTTAAGCACGCCTTGATCGTCATAGTGAACGTCGAGCTATCTGATCGAACACCTTCATCTATCATCTCATCGTAAAGACGCAGAACCTCGTCTGGTTTGTTTCCACGGGAATAAGCCACAACCATGGAATTGTAAATAGATACACTTCTCTGAGGCAATTCGTCGAACACCTTACGGGCATGTGAGATCTCGCCGATACGTACACAGGAAGTAATGAGGTCGCGAGCGATGGAGCTTCCATGGAGTAAGTTACCGGTAGTGATTGCGAAAGCGTGGATCTGACTGATGTGACGCTTGTGTTTAGAAGCTGATAGCAGGAAATTGAGGCGTCTCGGACACAGAAGAGTCGGATGTAACATGCAGACAAGTTTGTTTTTTTGTTATCTTCGAGACCAAAACCAGATAGACTCTTCAGACCAATTCGAACCAAAACGAAGATCCGAAGTCTTGTGTTGGTTTATAAGATTGTATCCGATCCAATTTGGTTGATTACTTGCTTCAAAGAAATTTTAACAATTAATTTTCCAAACCAATACCAAATCAATTATCACAAATTGACAACCGAAACTTTGATTGGTACCTCCAGATCGGCCTTGGACCAAACCAAAGAATTAATGGTTTGCGGCTGCACTATCCCCTATATATTAATTGAGAAACATTTAAAAATATGTTACCTTGCAGCTTTTTATGTTTTATCATTCAGTTTGGAAGTATTTTAGAACATCTTATATAAAAAATAATACAAAAGTTATATTCTTTTGCAATATAATATTTTGCAGACTATTTGGTCGCATATATCAAATATTTACTGTTCCGGAGACTTTCCTTAAATAAAACCTACAAAATTATCTAATATGATTAAAAATATATATGTATATATATATATCGTAATTAATGATTTTAAACAAAAAGGATTTGATAACAATCTGTATACTTTTCATCATTTTTATTTATTTATTTATTTATTTATTATTAAAATAATTACACAATTACATTAATCATATAATAAAATAGTAGATTTTTTATGTATGTTGTATTTTAAATTTTTCAAAACGAGTATGAATGACTAAAACTATTAAAAGTCTCACATAAGCTTTTATGATCAAGGTTTAAATTTTTTTCTATATTAAGATACAATTATTATAAGACCCATATGAAGAAAAAATGTTTTTAATAGGTTTTATGTAAATATATATACATATATATATATATCATTTAAATTAAACTATACATCGTATGAAAATACATACTTATATTTTGATATTTGCATTGAACATATATTGAAAAGTTAATATTTTAATTTTAAAATCTGTCATTGTTTTTCTAAATGATTAGAGATTATTGAAACTACTAAACATCTCACATTAAAAAAAATTATTAGTGTAAATTTTTATTACAAAAATATGAAAATAATCATTAAATCATATGAGTAGAAGCCTCATTTAATAAATATTCATATTAACAGTGTGCTATATATCTATACTAATATCATTTAAATTTAATTATATATCATATACGATATATAAGATTGCTTATTTTGATTTATTTACCCTAACTGCGAATAAACAAGAGTGATAGTTAGATTTATATGCACGCGCAAATTTATTACACAATAGTAACTGATTTCTTAATTATTTAATATACATACTTATTATTTTATTATTTCATAATATGCAGAAAACATAAAATAAATAATAAATATAAAATACTTATTCTACAAAAAAACAGATCTTAACCTAATTCATTTATTTTAAATCTTAAGTATTTTCTAAATCTCGGGCCAAAAAAACAAACGAAATGAGAATAAGTTTCAAAATTAACATTTATATCGAGCAATAACCAAAATGAAAAAGATACAAAACAGAAAAATATTGAAGGTAGATATAATTGGCACGTGAGCGTAAACTTCTCATAACCATAATTAATTTTTAAATTGCTAAATCATGATATAAAACCGAGCTGACATAGTTTCATTGTAACCAAATATACCCGAGATTTTTCGACCTAAACGTTAGGTTCTTTGCGGTAAGTGATATTTTGACCTAAAACATTTTTAAAAATTAGATCAGCTCATAAGTAAACAAATTATGTAATCAACAAAAAATTAAAAGAATTGTTTAAAGACCAAAATATTAATTCAATCAATAATATAGATTTATTTTTAAGTAATTTTTATATAAATTTATCATGCGCAAAACGCAGGTCTTATCCTAGTTATAAAGTAATTTTGGGCCACATATTAATAGTTTCCTTTAGTTTAGGGGTAAAAATTAAGTGATACAAATTTTTATTGTCCAACTTGGTTCGAAGCCTGAAAAAACGGATCTAGCGTTGTGGATTTAGCGGATCTAGCTACACAAGAGTTGATCTAGCGGATCAGCAGTACAAGTTCGGATCTAGTGGTCTAAAATATTTGTTTAAATGGTGAAAGCAGATAAAAGACGGTTCATATTATAATTTTATAATAAAGTTTATAAAATATAAAAATTTTATTAAATTTCCAGTTACTAATTTTTTTCATAAAATACATAATATTTTATTGGAACAAAAACATAACACAAATTTAAATATTACCGTACTAAAAAATAATATTTTTTTAATTTATTCGCCCATAATGCATTTGCAACCTGCTTCCATCTCATTAGTATCAGTCTCTACTTCAGTGTTGCTGATACCTGTTTGTTCCAGTTCAGCAAAATCATCATCTATAAAATTTGAAATTCTAATAAAATTATGCAGACCTATTGTAGCCAATACTACTTCTTTTGGCAATTAAATATTATATCTTTAAAAATCATAAAGAATCCTCTATTTCTTTTTCCAAGCTCCAAATGTCCTTTCAATAACTGAACACAGAGATGCATGCCAACGATTAAAATATTCATGTTTGTTCTGAGGAGGAGGAGCATTTTTGAATTGCTACATATGATACCGAACAACCATATTTCGTGAACATCGATATGGAGCAAGAAAATCTTGTTTATTTGGATAGCCAGATATCCAAGTACTGTTTTAAGAATTCCGAGGCAAGCTGGCGGAAACTCCCGATCAAATTTCGCTTACGTCGAGAGAACCATTTGAGCGCTGATCCTTCTAGGTTTTCGCTTTCCTTGAGCTTGGCTCGACCCATAGTGATCTGGAAGGCCTGTAGGTGCGTTTGGGATCGGTTGTCCCATCGTAAGTCAGAACTTTGAGCTTTCCGGGATCGGGCAGCTTAATCTGGGTGATAAGAGCCGTAAAAGGTGTTTTCCGAGATTCGTACAGCACTTGATCGATTTCGAGTGCAGCACTAGTGGCATGGTGAATTCGCGATTTCACTGCTTTTACCGCTGCGGCCGTTTTAGTGATATAATCGCGGAGATTGCGAATCTCAGTTTGGTCGCCAGCAGTTTTCCGACCCCGTCGGTGTTTGCTGTGAGTAACTTGAGATTGTTCCTCGGCCGTCTTCGCATGCTCCATGCAATAGAGGTCTTCCTCGTCCTCGGTGAGAGAGTGTTCGAGAGAGGAATCGGGCTGAGGACTGCAATCTTTCCTCCTCCTCGGATGAACGTCAGCGTCTTCATCCGAAGGATCGGATTGGTCACTGGTTTCTAGATTCACCCTTTCGACACCGTCGTCCTTGATCTCCTGTTCGCAAGAAGGATTTTTTTCTGAGTCTTTTTGTGTCGCGTCAGGGTTATCTTTCTTGGAGGTTTCCCTCGGTTGAGAACCCTGCTTGTTTCTGGGGTGATCCATAGGAATTGTGAAATCGTGTCTTCTTCCGCGGATCTTCGTAGTTCCGCGGGGGCGGATTGCTTTGGTTTTTGCGATTAAGGTTTCGACCTGTTTTGCGAGAGATCCGATTAGCTAATCATGTTCATCCGTCCTTTTCTGATAGGCAGAGAGTGCCTCCTGCAGCGTCGTAGTGTTGGCCGTAGCGTTAACTGTAGTGACGTTTGCCGCTGGAGTTTGAGTTTCGTCGTTCACGTTGACATATGTTGGTTGTTCTTCTGTCATCGTGATTTGACTGAGCGTGATGTGGTCTGAGAGTTAGATAGATCCATAACCCCCCCCTCCTTCTAGCGCCAAACTATGGGAACCGAAATTCACACCATCGATTTCCGTAAATAAAGAAACTTAGGGAAAACCCTAATTTTTCAGAGGTCTCACATATCTGCTAAACCACACGCCAAGCAATCAGAAAATGAGAATAACAGTAAGAACAATAAAAATCGAGAAGTAAAGGGCAAAAATATTTCTTATTCCAAATCTGCGTAAGAGCAGTACAACGAGGTAAAGCCTTGGCTACAAGAGCTGATGGCGAGTTCCCTAGTTCTAGAAACCTAAGACTAAAACCCTAGTTGAGACACAGCTCGATAACAAAAACGGAAAATTGCCTAAATGCCTAACTTTGTGTGTGAAGAGAGTTCTGAACATGTCCTGCTTCTGTCCTCGACCTCCTGCTTATATACTCCTTCTCTAGACGGTTTAATCTTTCCTTTTCCGCCTTGATTCGTGCTTATCGGAAATCTTCCATTTATCTTGATCTTTCCATTTTTCTGCGGAAAACTTCTATTTTCTTCAATCTTGACATTTAACTTTTCCTGCGAATAATAGGCAAACCGTCATTGTATCTTTGGGCTGGATCCTATCTAAAGTCGCGAGTGGGCTTTTATCACGTTTTAGGATCTTTCGAGCCATTTTACGACTTAGCTGTTTTCCGACTTTTTACAAGATTGTTTCATGATACGACGACGTTTTTAAGTAAACATCTCGAGTTAATCGTATGGTTTGGCAATGTTCGATGTTTCGTTTAACCTTTGCCATTTTATACGATTTACTCGAGGTTTAACTATAAACGCGTGTTTTACGATTTTTATAAAAATTCTCGAGTTAATCATATAGTTTGGCAATGTTTGGC